GGGTTGTTGGGGTCCTCTGGTGTTTCTCTTGGCTGAGGGGGCGTGGTCAGTGTCTCTGGGTGGCCGCTTGCCTGGCCTGTTGGGGGCGGTGCGGGGGATGGGGGGATGGGGGGGGCTCGCCGCCCGTCCTCCCTCTGCGGGCCTCCCTGTACGGGGGTTGGTGCCCCCTTAGTCCCTCACGGGCTCCCACTCGGGTTGGGCGGGTGGTTGTCCCGGGGGCGTGTGGCCGTGGGCCCTTGTGCCGGGGGGGGCGGTAGGGTGGCCTCGGTTGCCTGGTTCTCCTGCCTTCGCCTTGGTCCTGGTGATATTATGATAATAATATCATTATTATTATTACTTTTTAGGGTATGTTATAGATATAGGAATTGAAATATACATATATTTATGTATAAGGGTACGATCACGTGTGTGTATGCTACATATATATAATACCGATTTGTCACATTATTAATTATTATTATTATTACTGATGTTGTTATAATTTTTGTTGTTTGATGTAAAAAAAAAAAATGCTATCAGCAAGTCAAGTACGTCGTTTTTGCCTCTAAGCAAGCTTAAGAATTTCTTTCTATCTTTTCACGAAGAAGAGAATTCATCTGAACATCCGGCTTTATCGAAAGATGGCACCCTGGGGCTTTCGAGATGCAGTGTTTCCAAATAACCCAGATGTCACTGACCTCGCACACTGGCTAGCCCTGAAGCACACCTTGCACACAGCTGTGATCCCATTTTACTGCTTTGAGAAGAGCTGGGATGTAAAGCCCGATGCAGCCAAACTTGCAAGGCTGAGGTCATAAGGTTGTGTAAGCTTTGGATGGAACACTAGTGATATTCACACATGCACACGACACCCCCCCCCCCCAAGTCCACAGAACTGCTCTATAAAGACCATCGTTTCATCAGCTATTGAAGCGTATCGAAAAGAACTGGGGATGAATTTAGGTGGCTTTAGATCTTAAACTCTTACTTTTACATTTATTAGGAAGCAATGAAAATGGTTCTGAATCCCAAAACCACTGTCAGCATGTATAATGTTCAGGAATTTTCATTAGGAATTTTCTATCATGATGGTCATGAACTAGGTCAAGGGTGGCCAATCTTATCCGCAAAGGGCCGGTGTGTATGCAGGTTTTTGGGTAACCTTTAGGTCAGCTGTTCAAACCCAGGTGTGAGGACTCTTCAGCCAATCAGTCCTCTAATTAGTGACCTGATTAGGGAATTGCAGTGAAAACCTGCATACACACCGGCCCTTTGCGAATAAGATTGGCCACCCCTGGACTAGCGTATTTCCAGTTATCTTCGCTAGGTGGTGCTGAAGAGACATAAAACAATTAAAAAAAATCCTCACATATACAGTGGTACCGTGGAACACGAACTTAATTCGTTTCTGAAGGCAGGTCGAGTTGCGATTTGATCGAGATCCAAGTCGAATTTCCCAATATGAAATAATGTAAATGAATTTAAACCATTCCAGATCCCCAAATGATTGCATATTTAAACTTATCTACCTTCCTAACTAATGATAAAAAGCATCGACAATAAATATAAAATACATACATGAAAAAGCACACATACAAAAGCAATGAACATGAAATAGATGACAATTTATGAACACTTTGCCTGGGTGTAATGGACAAGGGGACGTGGAGTAAGGGAAGGACAGGGTGTAATGGACAAGGGGACGTGGAGTAAGGGAAGGACAGGGTGTGATGGACAAGGGGACGTGGAGTAAGGGAAGGACAGGGTGTGATGGACAAGGCGAATGGAGCGCCAGCTGAGAAGATGAGGGTTGTGGGCGGAGCTAAACCTAAACATGAAAACTAACAGCGGCACGTAACACAAGGTTCTACCGTATATTTAATGCACAATCAAGACTGGTGATAAGCAAATAATAAAAAACTTTACCTGGCTCCAAACGTAGTCCCACAAAGCCATGCAGGCCACAGCCATTCAGAGATGACTGACGAGTGCTTGGAATAGGGGATCCCAATAGCCGTCGCAGCGGCTTTGATGTTGCTCGCTAACACTACAGGGTGTCAAGTAGAAGCATATAATGATGAAAAGAGGGAAGTGAAGCTGAAACAGGTGATGCTGCTTCAGCTCTGAGGGGTCATTTGTCTGAATGGCTCTCATCAAAGCCACGGAGAGGTCTTGCTCATGATAGTTTTACTCACACAACAATGTTCTGAGGGCAGAATGAAAAATGATTGGTCCACAGAGATAACCAATCAGATTGAAGAGGAGGTGGGTACAAGCAACAAGAGGAGGTGGGGCCAACCAATAAGATGTCTACATCCAGCTCCCTCTAGTTGCTTGGACCCACCTCCTGTACAATCTGATTGGTTATGTGAACCAACAATTTTTCGTTCTGCCCTCAGAACATTTTTGTGCAAATAACACTCCCATAAATTGGATGCTTCTGTGGGGTGCTGTGGAAGGATAGAGTATGTTTTTAAAGGGTCAACACAGGGGCAAATGCTATCTGCATGAGCAGGTAAGCTCAGGGATGAAGCTGCAATACCCCAAAGGACACTCGTAAGATGCATTCATCTGACTGCCCAAAGGGATTTGGTCCTCAGGTTCATAGCACTGTTACCTTAGATTTTTATACATTTTCCCTGCTTTTTTATTGAGTTGTCCTTGCAGGCCAAGAACTGGAGGTGGGAAAGGTGATTCCTAATAATCCTAATAATCTATAGACCTCACATTGCTGTATTTGTGTCATAACCGATAGTGTTGGATCTCCAGTGGATCACATGCTAAATGTGAACAGCAATGGAGAGAAGGTAAAGGGGTGATGTTGTGAATGGCTGATGCAGGATCAGCGTTAGAGCTGGCGTTAGGACTGCGCACGGGTTAGGGGTTGGGGGTTAGGCTTGTCATTTAGGGTGAGGCTCAGGTTAGGATTAGCTTGGCATTTTGTTTAGGGGATGAAAACAATCACTCCAAATCCACCATACAGTGAAGTTCTCATGCCAAAACATTCATTTTGCTGACGTTAATGGTAATTACAAACAGAATCCCTTATGCGGTGGAAGCCCTTGAGATTTATTAACAACGTCAGGGTCTGAGTTACCATCCTAGGCACTGTGTTCTTATGCGTAAGAAAGAAGTAATTTAATACTATTTCAACAGTGAGAGCACTTGTTCAAATTAGTTTTTATGTTGTTTACAAAGATTGCTTTTCTGGCCTTCTTTTTCTATTGTTGTAGCAGGCCTGGGACATACAAGTGCAAGAGAAAGGACTTCAGCTTCTTAGAATGATCTCTATTCTTGAGTAAATAAGATGTGATCCTTATTCTAAGTCCTAGTTAATAGAAACCATATTCAAGTCAAAATGCTGCAGCAAACCAGACGATTCCTATTGGTTCACAAATCTCTCTCACTAAAGTATAGCACTAACATTATGTGACACCATCAAATTCTTGACTGGGGTACAGCAAATAAACAAACAGTAAACCATTTTTGCTTAAAAATGACCTGCGCAGTATTGAGGCTGGCGAACGGACATTCTAAGTGATCAGAAAAACCTCTAAATAAATGTCATTCCATTACAAAACAAAACAAATGAAATACAATCTTATATTGGCTTGCGTTGTATTTTAGTATGTTTAAAAAGATGTAATCAGTTAAATAGACTGCTTCATCCTCTACTGGTCTTAAGTTTCTGTTCTGACCACAGAAAGATTCCAGTAAATGCAGTAGATGAATTTTCTAGAATTTTTCCTGGTATTTGGAGAAATCAATGAATAATGACACTGTATCCTTATGACTTGGTTAATGCATCTATATACTATATACACATCTGTGTGTGTGTGTGTGTGTGTATTATATATATGCCTGTCCAGTGTCTAACTCCATATCTGGTGACCCTTATCTGGCCTTCCCACGACTGTATGGGACCGACATGTTCCGAATATGTATGTAACAAACGATGTGCATGCAGGTGTGTGCTTGTAATTATTACATTGTGAGGGCCAGATTTTTCCACAATGTGATAAAAAACCTGTTATTTTTTATCCCCACTGGGGGAAACTCAATTTTATAAAAACCTTCAACTGCAATCAAAACACTAAAAATGTCAAAAATCTTGTATTTTGTTGGGTTAGGGGGTTAAGGCTGTAGTTGCTGGGATTAGGGTTATGCTCATAGAAATGAATGAACAGTCCCCACAAAGATATGAATACAAACATGTGTGTATGTGTGTGTCTGTATTTGTCTATGCTTTTAATGGTCTCAATAGTAAACAGCCAGAATATATTTAAGAGAATTTAACACCCAGACATGTGTTGGTTTGAATTTTACATCAGACATTTCAATCTTTGCATGATTTTATCTTTGCATACAAGACGACGTTGTCAGTGAATTTCCCCGTTTTTGTCATTCTCCCCCAGCAGTTCCCCGAGCAAGGAGCAGTGACGAGCAACCAGTGACACGGGTCTCAGAAGTGCAGTTTTATTTTTTTGGTTTAGTTCTTGCTTATTTTCTGGCCCGTGATTTGTTGTTAAGACCATTTCTCCCGAGTGTGTACAGGTAATATACATACTGACACACATACATGTGTGCGTGTTTTAAATTTTTTTTGTTTTGGGAAGGTTACTTTTAAAAAGTAATGTTACAGAACACTAGTTACCCAGCTAAAAATGTAATAAGTAACTATTTTCATTACTCCATCATAGTTTTTAATTACTTTTCTAACATATGTTTTCGACTGGCCAATAAAGCTGAAAGGTCCCAATGACTTTGCTGACCTGCGTTGTCTGGAATTATGCCAAAAGGCGGCATTTCTGCATGGTGACAAAATGGAAAGTAACAAAATCAATATTATAGTCTATATATAATCTTTTTACCTAAAGTAATATATTTGAATATAACCCCTTTAAAATGTAATGTAGCCAATATTTTTAATTGTAATTCAATTGCATTTTTTTTAATCAACCTGACCCCGGATAAGCTGCAGATGATGGATGGATGGATGGATGGATGGACATCTGGTTGTCTTCACCGAGAGAGACCTCACATTGCGGTATTTGTGTCAGACTCAGCCTGAGGCCTAGAGCAGGTTAACGACATCGTTACGGGATGTACAGCAAGTTACATATTAAAGAAAGGGGGGTGAAAAAGGGAACTTCAAGAGAATCCCTTGGGGAGGTGAATCATCCACAGCAAGCAAACTGCAGAGGAATTTCTGTTATAAAGCTTATAAACTGTCACAGCTTTGCTTGTAGATAAAGCTGTCAGTCAAAGAAGGCTTCATACCTGTAGGAACACACACATTTCATAAGCATCAAGTTAATACAAATAACAAGGATTGTGGTGAATAACAGCCTAATTGAATTATATATAGCAAATTAAGAGCTAATATTATATAGGTAATATATTAATACATAACAGCAGGTTTAGGTTATGCTAGATTTAATTTTTTGTTGTTTCTCGAACAAAATTGAGTGCAGATGATGCCACTTTAACATAAAAAGAACTTTTCTTTGCAAAATATATCACACCAAAGCATGCAAAGTCTTTAAACATGCCATCAATGTTAGATAAAGGACATTGTTAAATTACCTTAAATTTTTGCTGCAAAACACCATGGACTTACGAAATAGACTGAAGAGCCATCCCAGCAAAGCCTGCAATGTATAATCTGTGCTCATGATTACAGCATGTGACTATGCATATTATATCCATATCATGAGATTTGGAAACCTAATGCACTTTGCAATGCAAAGGTCCTGAGGACAGAAATGAGAATTTATAATCTGAGTAACGGGATTTAATGAGGCCCCAAGACTCGCTTATATTTCTGTCTGACAATTTACTAAAAACTGTATTTTAAAAACTGAAATAGAAAAAAGAAATGGAATTTATAAAGTTTTGGGTACATTTACATTAATTTTATTTAGTATACACTTCAAAAAGACGTACTGTCAATTGTCCCCATCAGCTGTTATCTTCCCGTTTGACCAGCAGATGTCGCTGCCCATCCTGTATTTTCCCAATGTTTATCTCCAGCCCTAGTGAGTTAAATACTCACACTTGTCTAATGTTGATTATTTTTATCTGTGTATATACCGCTGTGTTAAAAAAATAGCAGTGCATTAAAAAAGTGAATAAAGTGCAAATATTTTTAATAGCCTTTATTTCCATATTTTAAATGTAGTGGAAACATTACACATTCAATTCCAAATCAAAGCATTAACAAATTTGATCAAGTCTGCACTTTTTTTGACTGAAAGCAAAATGAGGAATATTAATCTGTTCAAAAAAAAAAAAAAAGCTGACATTATTCTTTTCAAAATCAAAGAAACACTTACAAACTGAAGATTTTTTCAAGATTTAACTTCACTTTAAATTACTGAATTAATATTTAGTTCCATAACCATTGTTTTAGATAACTGCTGAGCATCTGCGTTGCATCAAGTCAACCAACTTCTGGCACCTATAAACAGGTATTTCAGACCAGGATGAACAAACTACATTCAACAGTTCCTGTGAATTTTTAGGTTTTGCTTCAAAAACTGCAGTTTTAATGTCACCCCACAAGATTTCAACGAGGTTGAGGTCAGGGGACTCAGCTGTTCAGTTCGTCACTTTCATCCTTTTTGTCTGGAACCAAGATGATGCTCGCTGTTTGGGGTCATTGTCTTGTTGACGGTATATCGCAACATTATCATTAAGTATTCTGATGTAATCAAACTGATCCATCATCCCTGTTATATGATAAATAGGCCCAACACCGTAGTATGAGAAACATCCCCATACCATGATTTTATGGCACCATGCCTCGCTGTCTTCACAGGGTACTGTGGCTTGAATACAGTATCCGGGGGGGGTTTGTCTGACACACTTCTGATTACCACTAGACCCGAAAAGAACGATTTTACTTTCATCAGTCCACAGACTGTTACGCCGCTACTCTTTGGGTTAATCGATGTGTTCCTTGGCAAGTTTTAAGCAAAGCTGCATATGCCATTTTTTCAGCAATGTTGCTTTATCTGGGGCTTCTTGCGTTCTTAGCCAAACACCTGATTATGACAGCACTTACCGGTGATTTTAGATCATCTTTGATCTTTCTGGGGGTGATGGTTGGCTGACTTTTTGCCATTCTGACTATTCTTCGATCCATTTTAACAGTAGTTGCTCGTTTTTTTCCATGTGCTATTCAAAAGGAAATATGTTTTATAACGATGTGTGAAACATTTCTTTCCCATCTTCCTTAGTAAAGGACAATTAATGACACCTGCTTTTTTCACAGAATGAATTAATTCTCTAATTAAATTAAATTCCACGCTGCTAATATTTTGAACATGCCCCTTTCAACGAATGAGTCTGTCGCGCTTGGCGGCGCACGAAGCGTTGAATAAGCGCAGGAGGCAAGAAGGCGGGGCAAACACGGGGTTTAATAGGAAAAGCAACATAAGGGACAGGCAAAACACGGGATAACATTACAATGACCGGACTGGGGAAACAAACGGAAACGCGGACTAAATACAATGGACTAATGACAGGGATCGGGAACAGCTGGTAAACACGGGGAATCCACAAGGGGTTAACGAGGGGGCGTGGCACACGAGAGGAGCGGACGATCGGGGCATGACAGAGTCAATTACTTAGAACAAGCAGCATGCATGTCATGACAGAAGGGTCTGTTGTTTTTGTATTACACTACTACATCTACAAGTAAATTATTTGCCATGCAGAAAAATCACCACCACTATTAACAGCGGTTCATCAGGTTACTGAGGTTGCTCTTCTGTCTTTTTGTACACAGCTGTAGGGGCAGATCGTTGCCCTGTTCTTTAGTCATTATAGCTGTTGTGAAGGTAAAGTGTGTTTATTGTAGTTCTGGTTCCTGCCGTGTTCCCCATCAGTTCATCCCAGCTCTGCCTTTTTATTCCTCCCTGCCTTCTGTTTGACCCCTTGTGGTCCTTTTATTTTCATTAGAGTCCCCTCACCACACGTACAAGTGAGGCAAATGAGACTTCCAGAAAGTGCCCCTTTAGATTTGATTTTCAGGCCAATGTGTTTGGCACATACTGTACTGTACATACACAAGTAACAAGCTCCAAACATGTGACAGATGAGGGTCAATAATAATCATTCATGCACTAGGGACTCAGACACCAGGAGATACAAGAAACAGGACATAGATACGAACTGGGCACAGACAGGGTAAACAGTGATACTAAGGCAATGATCAAAGCAGAAGTATATAAATACAAGGCACTTGATTAACACAGGGTTGAGAAAAACAGAGTTCTGTGGCACAAATCACCAAAACATCCACAGTTGTTGACTGGCCAGCCTTGAAATCACAATAGTTTGGAATAAATGGTTAATCAGTCAGGTGCATAGCCCACTTAGCTACACAGGGAACAAGGAGAACTTCGGGAACTGAGAGTGGGGAAAAACCTAGTAAAATGCAGGGGGCAGAACGGGGTGACCAGCGACACCCAGTGGCCAAACGGAGAATCTTGGAACAACTGACAGAATGGGACAAAGTAGGGACTGATCCTGATGATAGCACCATTCTTTCCAGAATAATAAAGAACGATCTTTTGCCATCCTGGTTCGGCTGGTTTCCAAAGCATTAAAGCCATATATCGCAGGCAAGGACAATCAATGCATGTGAACTTTAACTTTCGCAGTCTGTTTTTTATTTCCTTTAACTTTCAAGATACAAAATTGATTATTGAAATACATTTTAAATCTACAGTCAGTCCCGTATTATTACAGAAAGTGCTGTACTCATGTACGGGTGAAAACAAGCTGATTTATGCTGTCTGAAATCTTAAGATCTTCCACGTCAGTAATTCTTTTAAAAAACTCCACTCAGTCCAGTCAGTGTTTTTTTTTTTTTTTAAATCACCTTTATGATCTTTCCTACATTATTCATTTATTATCTTACCACTATGAAAGAATCGACCCTAAATCATTTATCGAGACACATCACATTAGCATGAATTATTGTGTGCCATTTGGACCATTCACATACCTCATTCATTATGTACAATCGGCATGCTGAGAAAATCCTGAGAAAATTTAGACTCCTTCACTCAACCATCTAGCAGGATTTAAAGTACAACATTCCAGCTATAGATCTTTAATTACTGCTGGTGTAGCCTACTGACAAATCACAGAGTTCACTCATGACTTGGAATGGAATTCAAGATTATTCGGATTTGTCGGTCTGCGTAACGTTTTTTTGAACAGAAGAAAGCGATTTGCTTTCAGAACCCAGGTTCAACTGCTCCTGTGTGTAGGACCCAGGACCAGCAACTGCGGTGGCTCAGAGAGGGAAAACACTCATTTTTGCTACAGAAAAAGAGCCCCAGACATCAACATCACTTATAAACACCACATTCCTAAAACATCACATAACACACTCCAAAACATGGGGCACAGATATTCGTCAAAATATTTATCACTCCCATGTGGGAAATTCAGGACACAGCAGTGGTCATTTCCCTTGGGTGTAAGAGCCACTACAGCATGAGTACCTGTGCATAGTTACACACGGAGGTAAAGCATGCAGTATGTCACAGGCACAAACGTTAACAGAGCCCTGAAGGGGACGGCAGCTTATTTTACATGCATATATGGTGATTGGGGGGGGGGGGAGAAATCACTCCTATTTTAAATGTCTCCTCTCACCTGTTATTCCCCTTACTTTCCAGCCCCTATACTCAGCTGACAGACCACCCCCCACCCCTGCTTTGGCATGCCTCTGCATGTTAATGCTCTCAGACCACTGCTTTGTTCTTGCTGCAGCTCGCCTTTCTGTGCTTTTCCACTGGTCTAATTATTGTCCACATGTTATTACAGGAAACCCAGGCCTGGGAAACTGATCTGGACGAGTCGCAAAGGCACGATCTGGATCCACGACTCGTTTCCTTGGCTAATTCACAAGCTGCGTAGGGCCTTCAGACTCCGATCCAAATCCAAAGCCTGAAAAATGACAAGCAGATTTGGCGTAAATTTGAAAAAGGCACTGGTTGCATAACAAGATATACTGTAATACTTAAATAATTTACTCTACTTCATTTGCGCTATACAGGTTAAAATGCAACGTATTTTTTTGTCATAGCAGTGCAAAAGCACATAAAACAAGTTCTCATTTGCGCTTTTACAAACAATCGATTATCGCACGTATTGTTTTTAGAGGTGAATGCGCACTTACGTACCAGTTATGTCCATCCCTGGGTATAATGATGTAAAACGGGTAAAACTGAAGCTCGCTGCTGAAGGGGCACAGCGGCCAGGAACTGGGACTTAATTATGCTTATTTAAGTTTTAGGTTTGCAGTTCGCAAACTATAAATAAAAGTGCGATCTTTATTCAAACAAAACACAGCCTACAGTTTTAATGTGTTTTTAAATGTTCGAATTAAACGCAATAGGGCTGTTATTTTTGTACTTGTCACAATTTAGGTTCCTTACCAGGCTACAGACGATTCAGCTCATTCAGTTCAGCACCACGCCTAATAGAGCCCTGTAATGTATCCAAATTTATGTCCAAAAGACCTCAATCACGCATGGCAATGTTACGCAACATACAACATGCCACAGAGAATGCAACCACCTTCTGAGGGCTACATTGTAATGTTCCACCTGATGTATTTAAATATCTCGAATGATTTTTGGTTGGAAGTCCTTACATTGCATTAAAATAGATATGCGCTGACAATGCGCCCAGTCCTGCAAGCGGAAAGCAGGCGCAAAATCATTTGCTATTTTAACTACGTGGCGCATGACGTGATAATGAGCAATTCGCTGATACCAAACTAGCAAAACCAGTTTGCGTCGCATTTTACGCCAGTGGAAAATAGGGCCCATGAACTTTAAGGCACATTCCTGCTTGGTCCCGGAGGGCTTAGGGCTTCCCCATTTTCAAATTGTCAAGTGCATGAGGGCTCTCTGTCACAGGCATTTTCAGCCGTTTATGCACACTTTCTGTAGGTCTGCATTTCGGAGACTTTGCCTAAGGGAATTACCCACAGTCCATAGTATTGTGACATGAAACATGGGGTTACCAGGGGAATGGAAATAATTTATTTATTGCTTAAAGGTGCTTCTTTGACAAAAAAGAGCACATTGATTATTTGACAATTACCTCTCGTCCACTCTGTAAGGCAAGAGCCTGGAACACGTTCAAATTAGGCAGTGAAGAAAAATTTGGCTGTGAAGAAAGTGTAAATCTTAAAATAAAAAGTCCCAAAACCACAATAATAAGGAACATGTTTTGGCATTGTCAAGGTAACGTTATATGTCACAACGTGATGTCCTGTTCCTATTAATGCCATTTTAAGCTTTTGAAGCCTCTCGCACTCAATCCCTTAACGGGTGATGTCAGTTAAGCCTGTGAGGGTTCAGGGTTTAGGCCTCAGTGGGGGCATTGGGATTGGGCCATGGTGTCTTTTCAGCCGTAAATCTTGTATGTGATGCTCCAGTATTTGCTGTTTTGCATATTACCATGGTGTCCGTTATAGAGTGCAAGCCTATTAGAAATTCTGATTATTAAACCTAATCACATATGGATAGATGATCATGGGAAGTCTGGGACAGCGTTTTAATGACATTTCCATTCCGAAATGTCCATTGGCCTGGTAACTCAGTCATACAGCAAGAGGCATGGTTAGAGCTACAGCACTTTGCTGATTTACTGTTCATAAATACAAAAAGCTGATGTGTGAAATGAGTCATGATGCTCCCATATACTTTACGCTCCTGATTTTGCATTCGTATGCCATTAAGCATGATTGAATGAACTACAGAAGACCTTTTATATATATTACCAGTGCAAGCTGTTGCCTGCTAATCCCGTTAAATTAGTTTTGCTTTTCATAGGACAAATCACTTATGACTGAGCATTATTTGCGTCGTTTTAGTTCATAAGCTTTTACTTTTGTTTATTCCGAGTTACTTTTTTGTTTTTTAAAGTGAATATTCACAATATTGAACAACAGCCTCCCCCGCCAACGCTCAACCTAGTAAATATACAAAACAGCTCCGTTACCCTTACTTAATTGTATCCGCCTGCACAAAATTCAAGAGTGAATCACCAGTTCTTTTCCTTTTATGGCCATTTTCCTGGTTGCAATATTAAAACTAACCGCCACATCGATCAGTGGGAATACAGGGCACTGCCTGGGGAAAATTACAGCAGCAGACAGTCAGCACTCAGCAGAGAATAATTCCAGAAGTGTTTTAGCTGCTGGAGGTTTCTTGTTTAAATGATTAGTGTAAATCACACAGCAGGTTCTATGGTACAGTAAGGACGCTCTGACCTGTGAAATGAGTTTCTAACAGCCGATCCACATGGTACGGTGGATAAATGGCATGGTGAACAAGTCCAGTATATTGATTTTTAGTGCAGTCAAGTTCAGGTGACGATGGGGGAGCGGGGGGTGGGGGTCTCACACGTCCTTGGTTACCAGAGCCGCATTAATACACTCCGAGTTCTCAGAGGGCTCCTTACTATGTTCTATGATGGTTTAGTTGTCGATCGATGGTCCAGTTTGTGTGATAGACTGATGTAGGGCACAGTGCAGAGCCGTGTGAGAGATGACAGTGTGATTGTTCAATGTGGTTTTTGTTTCATGATCACCCATGATTTTAATCGGACTCAGTTTATCGCTGATTCAGCATTTGTGTTAAGCTTTGGCGGGTTTTTACTCAATATCTAGAATATTCTTTAATATAGTTTTTATACTTTGTGTATGGAAATATTTAATTTTGCTAACAAGACAGCTGTATTGTTAGACCGAATGACAGATGATGTGGGAAAATTCAGCTTTGATCCAAAGAAGATTGTCAGATACATTGTAGTCATGTACATTTGGAGCTGGTCACCTTAAAAGAGGCTGAAAAGTTAATCCAACACTACTTTAATAGTCTATGATATTATGCATCACCTATCTTATTTTGACGTTTTTATAAGTGACGTTTTTATTGCTATGAATTGATACTGGCACCCAATCGAGGTTGTCCTCCTCTTTTATACCATGTGCTTTCTGTGACAGACTCCAGGCTGAGACTGGAAGACAGATAGATATGAATTTGTATTGAAAACACCCCATAAAATTAAAATTGCCAAACAACTATGTAAGAAACAGTATCCATCAGAAGCAGTGTGTGGCTCAGTGGGCTCAGTCTCAGTGCCGGTGGCCGGAAGGTTGCCAGTTTGAGCCTGGCTTCGGTGGAAGAGTCACATCACTGGGCCCTTAAGCCCCAGCTGCAGGTCGCTGCCCTTCACTGTCAAGCTCGCTCTCATCTGCATGTCTGCCATGGAAGGCAAGAGGAGGCAGACAAAAAGACCATTTAACCATAGGGATCAATAAAGTGTCATTATTATTATTGAAATTAGCAGAAGCAATTAAGAAGTTGCCCATTATTGCTGCCATTATAGTGACACTAAAAACACTTGTTTGATTTGACTTCCTTTGATTTGGGTGGCTGTGGATGCCCTGATCTTTAGGGCCACAGAACACCAGACACTATCATGTCTACCATGATATACCACTGTTTTTAAGGTTTCCTGCTTCACAAGCAAATATTTTAATTAATTGCTCTGGGCAAATTGTTGGATGGGACTCTACGTAAAACAAATAATGGAATTATAGTAATTTATTTAAGTAATTATTAGCAGCCTCAAGTGTTAACTCTTAAATAATAATTGTCATTATTGTAATAATTGGGTCTGTCTGGTCAGTTGGATCTGGGTATGCACCAACATATACAGGCAATACAGATAAAACACATAAATGGTCATTAGTTCTGCTATTATACAGAAAAATTCAGTATTTTGTTATGAGTTATGAGTGAAAAACATTTTTAAAGCTTTTAAACAAAAACAAGTTTTTAGTGATACTTCATAATGCTACACGAATGATGCTGCACATGTGCGTAGCATTTATGCACGAGTGCCAGCTGTCTCAGTCCCACCTACCAAGCGATAGAGACCCAGATTCAACTGGAGAGATGGACAGTAAACGGCCTGCGTCATTCAGAAGGAGCAGATGTTGGCACTCCTTCGAGAGCCCTCAGACCTGCCTGCATGAAGACCAAAGCAAAATTACTGGTATTAACACAAAAAACTCACTCAGAGCTGCTGGTGAAATCACAAGACAAGGAACAATCAGAAAACAACCGTGATTCATGTGAAATATTCACGGATTTTGTTCAATTGTTACTTTCTGGGTCCTGTTTGCACTCAATCATGGTCATTGCGTTACCTGATATTTCCGACATCTTGCCGGTGCACATGAGTTTGCTATTATAAGTGTCGCTGTTAAAAAATGGGGAGAGCATAAGGTGGTGAACTGTCTGCATCAGCTGCCGTAACTAGTGCTGCTGGCTCGGCCTTTTGGGAATGACGAGGTGAACTCTAGGTCGTGCCTAGCTTTTCACTTATTAGCTTTTTACTTATCTGTGATTCGTGCTTGGCACTTGATTCCAAGCGCTGATTTACTCCAAGCTCCCTGAGACTGTCAAATCTGAAGAATGCAATGAAATTTTACAACATTTCCAAGCACCTGAGAAACACTCACAATATGCTTTTACTTAGCAAACCAAACTCTTCGCCTTTTCTCTTCGGGAAAAACCAAAAATACTTTCCATGCTTGCGATCATCAAAGCGGTTTCTTTTCCGTTTCGTACTTAAGTGATACGCTGTGCTTTTAAACCTTACAGGTATCCTAGGAAACCATGATGAAAGTCAGACAAATGACTTTGCCGTACATCTACATAATCTCACTCCGAGACTAGTGCTTGTTCCTCTGTCTCCCACCAATCCCAAATGAAGCAGATTTTGATGAAATATTTGATGTAATGTTGTATTACTTTTGTTTTTCGTGACACATAAAATGGTCCTGCGAGGCCGTTCTTGTTAGGAGCAAATCAGTCATAATATCAGAAGCAGAGACAATCTTGATGCAATACTTACCATTAGGTCAGCAATAAAATGTTCATAGTTTCAGAAACTGCCATCACTAAATAGAAGGCATTGGCACCTGGAATAAATAAATAAAACTCATTTCTCAGAAATTACAGGCAGAATGCTGAAATACAGATTTAAAAAGCATAGACAGGCATAGACAGTATGTTTAAGGTGGAGCCCCCAGGTAAATGGAGATTAACATACCAGAAGGCGAAAAAGGAGAGTGAGTTTAGTTGGAAAACAACTTTAAAGAATTCTTATTTTCCATAAAACTTACAGTGACATAGAGAAATGGAAATGCAGAGCTTAAGATGCCGCTTTAGAAAGTGTAGATGGGGGTGTCTCTCAGGAAGCATGATGACGAAACTCCGGGGGGGATTATTCAGAAATAAACGACTTTCAGACAAGCAGAGAGCTTCTGTTCTGGATGTGAAGGGGAGTCAGGAGACCCCTGTATTCAGCTACTGATACACGGTCTTCTTTGCAGGTGGAAACAGCACGACGCCAAAAATGCACTAAATCTGAAATATGTTCCAAATCTGCCAAAAATACAGGCTTTTTACTTTGTTATTCTAAGCATCACCCAAAGCTTTCAATGCAAATTCTTCATTTTAAATAATTCTAGGCGTCAGCTGAAGGGGAGACACAAAGGCAGGCTGATATATCATCACTTCACGTTGCATCTGTAAGCAAAGTATCCATTCGACTGTCAACATTTTCATTATGAGGCGATAATCGTCTTCCATACCGATCTGGCACACGTCACTAACCCCACCCCTGTAGACACCCGGCACTTCCTTCACTGCAGAAAGATTGATGAGGTCGCTGTCATCACTTTCACCCCATCTCCACATCCAGACCGGCCGCTGCTACTGGTAGTGATGTCATGTGGGTGTGTCCGGGAGGAAGTGGAGGGCAGCCGGAATCTGGACAAATGAGAGTGCTGCTTCCCCGTCATGTGACCCTCTGCAACATCGTTCTGCAGGCCCAGCCTTCACATTGCTTGTGTTGATGATCTTGGTATCAGTTCCCATTCCATGCCTCCTCCTTGGTTCTTAAACACTC